ATTTTCTATAGTTTTAGACGACATGACGTCAAAACGACGTCGTGTGCGTTACATGTCTTACTAGAATATCAAAGTATGGATCATTGTAAAGGGATTGAAAGTCATTGCAAGTTGTAAAATAATATAGTTACTCTGCTACAAGGTGTCAAACACCTACAGGTGGAGACCAGTTACGGTACAACTGCCCGTCATGTTCTTCAGTTTAAGACGACATGACGTCAAAATGACGTAGCGTGCGTTACTTTTCTTACTAGAACACCAAAGTATGGATCATCATAAAATGATGGAAAGTCATTACGAGTTATAGAATTATGTGCTTAATCTGACGCAAGGTGTTTAACACCTGAGGGTGGAGACCATTCACTTGAATCGGCCGCCAGCATCAGCAGATTATGATATTGTCGCTAGGTGTCGTTTCTAAGTCTTTAATTTGCACTTTATCGTTTAATTGGTACTTTATGATTTTATTCATCTTTGAATTGATATTCAATGCGTTATTACAGACCATTTGCAACAATTCCCCATTCGTGATTTTTCTTTGGGGTCGATTTAGGAAATTTCTGGGATTTCGAATCTGTATTTGAATTAGCTGCTATGCTCGGTTTAGTCCCGAATCGGCGGCTGAAAGGGCGGCTACGAATCGGCGGCCCAATCGGCGGCCTACTTTAGGTTGGTGTGTATCGTCGTCCAGAAACTGGGACAACATTACTTTAGACTTTACTTGACCTTTACTAATATAATCTGCCCAGTGGACTTTTCTGTGGCACATCGGACCGCCCTTTTCTTATTTTTTTTCAAGTGACCATGACAGACGTTTTCGTCCTCTTTTAAGGTACTTGTTGACCCGACAGCCAATTTAAACCGTTTAAGGAAAATGAAACTTTATGATTGAAAGCCAACTCTACAAGCTGTGAAGGGAAATGAGATGTATGTGCATATAAGAATAAAAAAATGTTAAAAGAAAAACAAACAAGAGCTTGAAAGAAGGGAATGAAATGAAAATAGAGATAAATGTTGAAAGACTGACTTGAAAACGATACTGAAAAGAAAAATCTACACCAGAAGGATCCAATGACAGTTTTCGGAAGTTTTTGTACAGAAGTGTCGCCACCGCCACGACTTTAATTACGTTAGCGTCGTGACAAATCGGTGACATTGTCACTGTTTGGTGCGATGTTTTCTTTGGAGTAGACACGTCATGGCGCAGCCTCCGGATGGGACAGCTACACGGCTAGGTTGTACGTGATGTGGTATGAACAAACAGGTGCGGTGTTTGTAAACATGATTCACAGGATAACAACTACGAGTTTTCAAAACGGTTTCCTGTTTGTGTAGTTGGTTTTCCCAGAAAGTCCCACATGGAATAGTTGTGATATAGATTCTCGATCTTCCCGCTAAAAAATCTTACAATGAGGGCCTTTCATGGGAGAACACCAGTTTACAGTGACGTCATTTTATAATCCCAACTCTGCCTTTACTGACGGACATGTCTGAAACAAGCGGTATGCTGTTCCACAAACACCTACGCACCAGCCCCCTCCTGCCGTTTGTTATCTCGAGTATTTAGCTCTTCATGTCAGCTGGCGTATGTCACACGGAGTATAATCTGACTGGTGGACTCAACACAAACGTTGCCTGAAAGTTGAAGTAATCTGAGCCCACCATTAGACACAGCGATCCTTTCAGTTCGGCTTCGAAGCTTCACGAGAGTTCAGTATCAAAATATTCACGGGGCACGAAATGATGTGGATGAAACAGATGCAGATTCAAATACAAAATAACACAAATGAATAAATTTTAATAAAATTTACGCTTTATTTGTTATCTACTATGCTTTCCAATACGAATCTTCCTTTTCACTTGCAAATGCCGTCTACTTCATTTACATTATTACCTCTCAATTGCTGATTTCTTCTAAAGCGCTAATGAACATAAAAACCTGCTGTGGTTTGTTTTGTAGTCGTCTACATTTTCCCTTCTCCTCACACACGCGATGTCCTAGCCTCTACATTTTTCTAACCACTTTCTCTCTCCTCTTGAATAGTTTGTTTACTTTTTTTCTTCAAACAAGCGCTCTTGTTACAGCCCAATTAGGGTTGTCAAGGCGCGTGGACTGTACCAACATGACCAGACCAGAGGGACCGCCCACACCAAGTGTTGCCCGACTGACGTGTTGTGTAGCCTAGCTCTCCAGGCTTGTGACTGGAGTACTTAGGAAAGTCGCTTTGGAAACCGTAATGCACACTTTCACAGAGCCGCCGTACAAGTGGTGATGTTTTGCAATAGGCGTCTAGCTTTAAAAACACATAATACACACGGAAAAGAAAGTAAAGTAGAAGCCATGAATTAAAATCAAGTATTTATCAGTGCGCTTTTCCATGCATCAGTTTTGTAAACCACCGTGTGTATGACTTTCCAATTTACTCTCCAAGCAGAGATTAGTATTGTTCATTTTAGGTGTTTTGTGGGGTCTTCTACTTAGAAAAAAAAATCTGACCAAATAGAAAACCGATTATGTCTACAGCGTCCCAAACAGGGCTAATAACCTCTGCTTGGAGAGTATCACACCGACCAGCCAACTTGCCACATCTTGTTCTCATCCGGCCAGTAGTCTGTGGTTGGAGGCTACAGTCTGGGCGCATGTTGGCATTTCAGTCATGGGGTATCAATAACGCACCCCAACCATAAATAGCGCTGGAGGCCCCGGCTTACATACGTACATGTTGAACCATATCTCCTGCGCAGATCATTATATAAGGCCATGGAGTTAAGCGACACGACCTGCGTAGAACTGTGCAGCGCTCTAACAACCAGAGATCCTGACGCGCCCACAGCAGACGAGAGAGAACAACAGGACCCAGCCCCCACCATGAACGCCGGTATGTACGGGGAAAGTGGGTCGTCTGCGCCGCTGGGGGTGTGGGCTCGTGTGCTGAGCTAGTTTAAAATACCGTGACGTCCATTAATGTCTTAATTCTACCACCCTGAGGGGGTTTGTGGATTTGTGGTAATCAGTTAGACCGATTAGTACACCAGCGGGACTCATGTTGTGGCCTGTTCTAAGTGGTTAGACAGCTGGCCTTGTGGTTCAGGAGGAGGGGCGTTATAGCGCTGTTTATAACGTTCTAGAAGATGGGAGGGGCATAGTTCGGGTCTCGACGTTGCCATTTACGATTCAGATTCTTTCGGAAAACAGTTCCTCCAGAAGAGAAGACTGAATGCGACAGTTTACCTATCAAAGACAACATTTATTTCATCACAAACGCTGATACTGCACGTTGATGGTTGTGACATGACGTGACGGTTGTGACGTTTGTGACAAGTTCAAATGTAGGACGTTCAACGCGGTGGCCTTGGCTTTCCGAACCAGAACTGACCAGTGTTAGCTGGATCATAACAAAGGCATCATAACAAGTGCTGCCTGTGTGTACACCGTCCCGTGTCGCGTGTTTTGCACTGCGTAGGGACGTTGATAACGATCCAACTGTAGCATACCTGGGGCACAGCGAGTCAACTGACACAGTAGCGGTGAGTGAACCATGGCATTTCTGCATCAAATTAGACTTTCAAGGTTGCGTCCACAAAGTCTCGGTGGCATAGACAGAAAGCACAGAAGGAATGAAACTTTGCTTCAATATCCTTTCAATGGAATCGAAATTACAAATACTGTGGTCAATGGCTTCAAGTACCAGTGTATCCCTGACTGTAAAAGGCATTAGGGTCTGTGGTTTCCATTCATCTGAAGGCTCTCTATTTGAAGTGGTTCAATACGTTTGTTTGAGAAGCACGACGTGGGGAATTTGTGTTCGTTCCGCCACGCTGGACGTTATTTCACATCCTCATGTTGAAGTATTTGTTTTGAAGACGGCCCGAGGAATGCTGGGTGAAACAAAATATTCAGCCCACAACCTGAACATTAATGATGACATACCATAACCACCGGGCGTGAAGGTGAGGGAAGCTAGTCAGGTAAACACAAACTCCATCAGGACAGCTGTACGTGCGAGTTGGTGTTTTCACTGCTTGTATTACTTCTAAGTGGTTAGTAGTCTCGGAACCGAAGGGGTCTGAGGGGCAACGTCATTGGAAACAAATAACTGACGAACTATGATCAAGGTGAGGATAGAGGGAGGGAGAGAAAGGGATGTGGATGGTACTGAAAGCAAGATGTGAAAGAGAAGGGGTGAAGAAGGGAGAGGGAGGAAAGAAGAATTAAAGAAAGAAGGCATATCGCAGACTGACAGACAGACTGACAGACAGACAAAGAGTCAGACAAAGATGTCCTAGTTCATGTTGTTAACGAGCAGTGTAGAGACAGATGTGGGCCTGTTTTCACAGCTGGCTCACGAAAATATAAATATTTTAGGACGTTTTGATATTCTGTGCGCTGCCTGGTGGTATCATTGCAAACTGCACCTTCTGCGTACTGCGTCAGCTACATGCACGTCAGCACGTCACCCCACTTGTGACATGAATTTGTCGGGTCGTCGACCGAAACAACAAGTGCGGAGAATACGTGACAGTTCAACTGCAGGCCCTTTAGAACAGATGGATTTATGCCAAAGCCCCATGACATCACAAGTAAATATACTAGTCTTAACTAAGCGTAGTATAGTGAGAAAAACAGGTAGGTATTTGGGGGCTATCATTTCTCATTCTTGTCTGCCACTATACATGTAGTTAATATTGCTGTACTGAATCATGGACAAGTATGTGTCGTTATACGATCATAAGCTTTTACCTTTACAGTAAAGGCCCAGTCACATACGTCATTTGAGCTAGTGGATTCTTGGGACAGTCGTGTAGGTGTCATACAAAATTCAATTGTGTTCAACTTGTAAACGGGAGAAAAGGCTGTCTTTAGATCCTTGTCGGTGGTTTGTGCAGTCACAGCCTTCCTGGAAATTCTACAATATAAAAATCACACGACGATGACCTACGACGCATGTGGCCGGGCCCTAGGAAAGGGGGTGTTAAAACACTTAAAACTCCCAAAATAACTGAATTGTATTTGTCTGTCCAGTGTCAGTGCCTTCCCGTGTGGAGCGGCAGAAGAGGGACTACCAGTCGCTGCTCGCCCTGCTGGCCCGCCGCATCACGCAGCGGCAGCTCGCCCAGATGATGCTCCTGTCCACACAGTTCCACACGCAGTCGGAGTGGGAGGCGCTCGCCCAGGACACCACCTTCGACAAGCTGGTAGCCTCGTTACAGGACAAGGAGCTGCTGTCGGAGCAGAAGACGAACGTGCTGAAGAACATGTTGATTCAGATAGACAGCGTGAAGCCGGACGTGTTGACCAAGATCAGGGAGTACGAGGCTAGGTACGGCAACCTCGTGCAGACCTCGCAACCCATCACAAAACCCGTGTTGTACCACGGCCGCTCCTGGTACTGACGACAAGGCTGTTCGCGTTTCTTTGGGGGACATTCAGGGCCAAGCTGCTACCTTAGAAAATCAGCAGATCGGTTAGAAATAAAATATGTCAAAATAAATTCTACAGTGATCCAGAGGAAGTGCTATGTTTGTGACTACGGTTAGCATTCAATATCAGTCGCATGCATGAGTTAATCGCTACCACTTGGCCGTGATTGTCACCCTTAAAGATTGGAGCGAGGCTAAGTGCAAACAGACATGTGACTTGTAAGTGCCTGTGGGGTCATGGACTCTCCTGGAGCCGTAAGAGCCGTGAGCCAATGTTGACACGTCATCGCGTCACCATCACGAGACTGGCCCTGTGGACGGGTGAATCAAGGATTGGGAAGGAACGGATACAAACACACAGAAAACGTCAGGCATTTTAGACAAGATGAAATAGAGGAGGGAAACTTCCAAGACAACCTGTAGGCAATGGAGGGGATATAGAATCCAAGACATGCTTCCCAGTCAAGTTCCTAGATATATCTTACTACCCTGTAATAAGTTTCGGCGTTTTGTCTTCATTTAGTCCTTGACTAGAAGTCATATTCAAGCTTAGAAAGATTATCTCACCTTAAATATAGAAATGCTCAAAGTGTCACCATGGCAATTTGTGAAAGTATAAGGGCTGGTGCTTTAAATAAATAAATAAATAACATATATATATCTAAGCGGCTGTCATTGTACTATCGGCGATCATAGATTACCACTCATTGTTCTTGTGATGGTTATCTATAAATATTTGCAATTTATTTCGTGTTTCGCGTTTTTTTCTGGCGCAATTGCGTATCTCGTTATAACAAAGTGAAGTTCGTAGTGAAGCTTTTGCAATTCAACGTATGAACTGTCAAACACATGTTCGTCATCAGCAGTGCCATGTCGTATCGTTTAACAAGAAGGGTCACCGGTGTATATTGTTGGAGAATGGAGATGATTATAAAGCAAAGAAGAAAGAGTAGTTTGTGTTGGATTGAAGTAAAACGAAAGAGGACGCGAAGTGAGATGGAAATGTTTGGTTCAATGTGAAAGGTCAGGAATGGTCAACTAGATAAAGTTCTGCTGGTGACTGAAAGGTAGTAATTTTTGATCTGGTACGGTCTGCAAAAAGTATTTATTTACACTTAATCGTTGCGATTCCAAAGTCTTACTTTTCATGTAACGTAACATAGACATTTACATTACGCAGTAAATAAAATCCATACACAAATAGTTGTAAAGAGTGGTGTGGTCTTGACCTTAAAGTCCTATTCTGCAAGTACGTGAATGAAACAAAAATATACAGATAGCATATCCAGCCGTGATGAAAACCTTGTGTGAGATAAAACGCTGTTCACTTAATTCAGATTATTCGCTAGGCGACGCTGCTATATAGCGAGGGAACAGAAGTGATTTTACGAACAGAAAGATGTATGTTATGAATTGTCTCCCCCTATCGAAGCTGACACAAAGTTCAGTACCCGTGACCATGTACAGTATGTGCTGGAACATATTTTTTTTGTCTCCGAGTGTGAGATACTAGTAGCCTGAGACATCACGATTCTAGTACCATTTCCATTTGACAAGCCCATAGAAGCTCTTCGTCGGGAGAATTGGAAATACCTTAAGCTTATTAATTTATGTATATGTACTAACATGGACCAATCAATTAATGTCAGACTGAGAACTGCCTGTTACCATGGTGTTGGAGGCCGTGATAACTGGTTTCCATAGTGACTGAGAATTCTGAGCTCCTATCGGACTGATTTTCATTGTGACAATAATAATTAGATCCTGTTGGTAGCTCTGGGAATGGGAATGGCTCAACTTTCTTCAAGCTCTCCGGCAAGAGGCCCAATCAGCCCCTGTCAGCGAGAGATAGCAGGCTAGCGTGCTGCAGATAAATCCAGTTTGTTACCGAACAGATGTAGAGACGGACGATCAATCCGGCCCAAACACGTGAGTAAAGAAACCGCTAGTTGGCTGTTTGAAAGTCAAATAAGATAGACGATCTAATTACAGGGTAACAATGTTACTATTCACGTCTGATGTGGAGAAAAAAGGAAACTTTTTGAAGCAAGTGATTCCTCTTGAGGGCCTTTTCAGGTTGTGAGAAGCACTTGCGCACCTGTGGCTCAACTCACCGACAAATGTTGTTCTGTTTAAACACGGTAGGCTACAACGTCTATAAACATCTACTTTACAATCCACGTAACATCAAGGCAAGGCCCGAAGCGTATCTTTGTGTTCAATATTTTATTCTTTGTGGACTGGAGTCTCAAAAGGTTGAGTTATCAAACTCACACAAACATCGGTGTGATACTGGTACGATTAATACATAACAATATCAGATTTAAAAAGAAGCCGACTTCATGGCAGTGGTTGTTGATACCAACAGTAGTGATGACAATACTAGCCCGGGTGCCACGCTCCGTAGATACACTCGTTAACTACGGACCGTACCCGGGCTTTGACAACGCATCATTATCTTAATTCAGCCGCCTTTGGTACTGAATAGTCGGCACCTACGTGCAACACAGCACAGTGCATATTAGCTTTGTGACTGCTTCTCTTGTCGGCCCTCAATACAAGAAACGGGCTTTGTATCAGTTTGTTACCATGACTACGCGTGCTCACGCCACAGTCGTCCTGCAGCCACTCAAATTTCTCTCAAATTTGAGATTAATGAGTCACGTGGCGCCACCTTTCAACATGAAGACGATCAACTGAGTTCTAGCCTTTTTTCAGAAATGTATCAAAGAACACAATGTACAAATATACACAGTTTTTACTCATACACAACCACATTTTTCGAAACCAGTATAAATACCTTCTTACAAAATTCACAAGGTGTCTTGTTTGTACATGGTCAGAAAAAAACGTAGAGATATTTGACGGGTGAGAATGTGACATGTTCTATTCTATTCTATGACTAAGTGTAGGAAAACAACTTTCTAATCTTCTACTCTATTCCATTCAGTTCCTCTATTTCTGAGAGATGTGACTGGGAAAATGTACAAAACATATCTTTTCTATTGCACGACTGTCGTTAAGGAAAGGACGGGTTGTGTCGTACGTAATCCCCTCCTAGCATTTTCGTCCGTTCGACAAAAGGTAGCGACATTACAGCAATGGGATGATTCACAGTATGGAATATCCTAATAATCGTACATATAATAGTTCAACACATTGATTTCTTTTTGTAGGACAGACATCAACTGGTATCTGTATTATTTACATCCCGGTGTTTCAGAGAACAACATTGCATGTACCTGCAGCGGGTAATGTACACAACTTGATCACAAACACAGAAACTAAGTCATCCTATTCAATATCATACATGCATTGAATTGGATCACCAACCGCGCTCCAAGCTTTGACATACATGGCATGTAGATTGGATTTTTGTTATATATATCTCATTACGTTTGGCTCCTTTGCCTGTTGCTCTAGTCTGAATGCATTGTAGCTTCTAGCAGCCTTTTCACTAGTTGGGGATGAAGCCCAATTAACCCCTGGCAGCAAGATATTGTGTATCACAGCCTACCTGTTGCTCGCGTCCACAGCCAATTAATTTTTAACAGCACAATAAAGTTAGTACGTACGTACCGCGGTGCATCGCTCAACGGTCCGGTTTCTATCAACATGAAACAGCCAGCGTTACACAACAGGAACATGGCTCACTCGACGAGTTTCCTAGTTCTGACGGCCATTTTCGCCCACAATACGGATACTCGGCGAACTTCTGGCGACTAACCTATTCGGCCGCAGGTGGTCAGCAGTGCGACGCCGCATTACGATAGAACTAAACTCATAGTTTATCACTCCTCTTAGTAGTTACTATCAACACAACTTTTCTATACCAGAATTAACTAGCCGTGCTCTGAATTTTTTTCGTTTTTTTCCCTCAGCAACTGTCGTCACAGCCCAATTAGGGCCGCCCGAGACGCCTGGAAAAGACAAGCTTAAATGGACACGCGACTTCACGTTCACGTGAAGAAAGACTCTTCGGCTAATTTTTCTAATCACAGCGACTGTCGTTAAACCTAATTAGATTGTCAAGACAGGTAGAGGAAAACTAGTGTACACGCGACGTCACTTACACGTGTGGAAAGA